TAGGTTGACTTTTCCAACAACAAATAAAACAAATACTACAAATAATAATGGTAATAATTTACTTTAAAGGTGATGCAATGGGGCTGAAATGTAAAGTTGTTTACATGAATTAAAACTATAATTTCAGAAGTTGGGGCCATTCTCCTCTTTGACCACAGCCTGCGTGGTGTCTCTCCTCTGCTGTGTTTCTATTTAAATTTGTTCTGCATTAACATAAATCCACTCGTTACTTTACCCCATGGTGCCCATTCATTAGGCTGTTCTTTGCAGAGAATAAATGAGGCCAATTAGAGGCATTTTAGTCCAGTGGTGGGGTCTGTGGACAAGCTTTATTAGCCACAAGTGCAAGGCAAATCAGATTTTAATACAAGTCAACTATGCCAGCATTAATATGGATACTTTTAATTTGCAAAGAATTGGACACTCTATCCAGGCTTTTATTCCAGTTAGTCCCCTGATAGGTTCAAAACACTGGAAACGGTGTGTGTGTGTGTGTGTGTGTGTGTGTGTTTGTGCACGTTGACTTCACTTGCACTATGCACTGCTTTTATGTCAGCAGTTCACCTTTTGTTTGTTATTTTCTTAAACTTAAATTTGTTGCAGTGATTATAAACTTTCTGTATTCAAAAAGAACACAGTTAATAGTTGGGATTAAAAACTTACATGAATACATTCTCAACTACAGTATTATTGAAATCAAATCGCCATTTATTGGTCTATAGACAAATGTGGAGGCAAAAACACTTAGTTGTCAGCCTTGGGGATTAAGGAGGATGCATAGTTTTTCGAGGCTCACATTCTGTCCCATCTTCCTCCCGGGCTCTTGTCTTCAGTTGCCTCTCCCACATCTGGTGCCTGCCTCCACGTCCACCACAGCATCACTGTTGCTCTGGGTGAGTATTGCTGATTTACATTTGTCCAGGCCGTCACTTCGGGCTCAGTCTGCTCAGTCACGCATTCCAGACTACACACCTGGCGGCCCACATCTGCTGTAACAGTGTGGAGGTCTTCACTTCATCCACTCAGACCGGCAGCCCACTCCTCATGGCACCTACGTAAGCTCGTACCAGGCCAGAGGCCGCGTACATCCATGATTGAGAAAGTCACTGGAGGCAAACGCTTGCATGTTAATATGTATAATATGTGTAATGTATGTGTAATGTAAGAATAAGGTTGAATGTAAAATAATACATTCAATACAATACATAAAACAAAATAATTATCATCATTTTTTTTATTTTATATTATTATTGACCAGTATTTAACCAGAAAAGTCCCACTGAGATTTCAGAATCTCGTTTTCAGGGTAGTCATGGCCCCAGAGAGACTGGAACTCTTGTACATGTTTTCGTGTGGGGGGAACCAGAGCAGAGGAAAACTTACGCATGGACAGGGAGAACATGCAAAATCCCCAGTCTGGAGGTAGAATCGAACCCAGGACCCAGTGATCATATTAGACTCCTTTTAAACTCCTGATAGCTGTCTTATTTAGCGGTGAATATGACTTGAAGCATTCATGTTGTAATTATCTATATTTTTTACAAACATTGGAATACATATGTTTCATATGTGTTTGAACTGTTTTCATATTTTATTGTCTGTTTTTAATTGACATGTATTGAGTTTGGCTGATCGATTACACCAGTTGGATTGTCCCATCCACAATTTATACAAACCAACACACGTAACTTAACGTAATGTATGTGAGACATAGAGAGGAGTACAAAGAGGGTTCCATTTACACCAACACATATTCATGAATTATTCCTGTCTTCCCGGCGGAGATAAGCCATGATATCTTTTTGCACTCATTGGCCCTCATTTCTGCAACTTGCGCAGAAAAAGGTGTACATTTTGGGTGTAGATTCAGATACGCAAGATCCGACGTGGCATTTATGAACGTGTGAGATCCGCACAGATTCGAGCGTACGCACCTGCGGCTATTTAATAAATGCCACTCTCAAAACCAGCGTATTTATGAAAGTCACGCCTATAAAGAATCAGAAACCGCCTGTTTCACGCCCCGTTTTTACGACAGGTCAGCAGGAAGTTGGCTAAGAAGACTGTTTGGAAGCCTCAAAAAGCCTTTGGCATGCACTTCTAGTTTATTCACGAAAACTACGCTATATTATAGATACACTTTTTTCCCTAGTGGTTAGACCCACTGCAGCACTCATCTCTCCTGAAATTTTGACGTAAATAAACAAATAATAAATGACCTGAAGGAATGAATGAACTATACTGCTGGTGCGCGTCACATCCTATCTCTGCTCTGTGGAGCCTCAAAAGTGGCATCAAGGGGCTCAAAAAAGAAAATATGGAACGAGATGACAACATCTGTAAACAGTGTGGGGGCTGCAACACGCACTCCTGACGAGGTGAGTTTATTCATGTTTAAAGAAATATACGCCATATTATGTCAAGCAGTTGACAGATATATTGGGCCAGTAGGTAGAATTCATTATGTCACAGGTGAAAAAAAATGGAGCGACCGGTAACAAAAAGGCATTTAGCAGCTCATAAGAGAAGTGCTCTGCAGCCCAGGGGGAGGACCGCCAGACCAAAGCATCCAAAAGAAAATTTAAAGAAATAAAATTCCTCAAATTATGTATGTGATTATTATTTAAAAATGGTTGAATGAGAGCCTGTCTGAGCTGTATAGGCCGAAGGCAGTGCTGGACAGGGTCTCTCATCCGTGGGCTGCTCCACCAGTGCATCCAATGGCACACCGTGGCTCTGTGCCTGTTGTGGAGAACCAAGCCAGGATCATATATCACGCTTGTACCAGGAGGTACCAGAGCGTAGCCCCCTGCATGTCCCAGAGCCATCTTCCTCTGATCAGACCCGCCCAGCCTCCACGGTGGCGCACGTCTTTACTTGGACCCGCACGAACCAAATGCCGTTGCGCACTGATTGTAGGTGCATATAACAATCCACACATTAGTGGGAGACTTTAGAGTTTGACATCTTGCACGTTATTTAATAACACAAACTAGCTCTAACATAACTTTGTTAAATTGCATATTTGTAATGTGTGAGGTGTGCCTATAATATTGCCAGAGTGGGAATATGTTTATTGTTGTCCAAATCTTGCATTTCATGCGTGTTTTGGCGTGCTGTGATGAAGTTTGAGATGGGTGTAAAATGTACATTTTTTGCGTACGCCTCATTTACACCTGGATTTGGCCGTACTCAGGTTTCATACATGAGGGCCATTATGTGTGCATGTTTCATGGTGTAAATTGTAAGGCTCTTTGCAAAGAACAGATATTCTCGGACCTACATTTCAGATTTATGTTTATGTCCCAAAGATGATAGGTGCAAATCAGGGCTCATCAGACACACTTTGCATTTGAGAAACCCTGGAAAGTCTTGGTGTTTTCATTGTGATTCCGTCCCTTATGAATATTGTAGTCGCATTGATCACTGCTCCTCCTCCTCCTGCTGCTGCTCCTCCTGCTCCTCCTGCTGCTGCTGCTCCTCCTGCTGCTGCTGCTCCTCCTGCTGCTGCTGCTGCTGCTGCTGCTGAGTGATGTGGTCTCGTGATCGTGCTATTGATGATCAAAGACAGGAGATGTGAATACATTTTTTATTTTCTTTAAACTTGTGCATCAACTTCAAAGGGTAAACTGTGTGCACATCTGTTTTGTTTTCACAACAAGTTCAAAATTAGTTAACTGTTCATTATTTTTTTTATGATTTTAAATACATGTCCATTTGAAAACCATTTACACACAATTCCGCAGTTCTACGTTCTATCCGTGTCATTGTTTCAGTTTGTACACAGGCTTTAGATAGAAGGTCCAGCCAGGCGTCCTAAACTCTTCCAAGTGAAGTAAAAATATCTTTCTTTAAATATGTTTCCTTTACATGATAAAAATAGTCTTATTACTCTCTGCTGTCACTTCTGCTGTACCAGGATTTCTTGATCAGGTGGTAGGCTCCTTATTCCATGGAGGATGTCTGTCTTTGTGTAGATATTTGATAAAAACTATTACAAAATTGTTCAATTTGTTTTCGTACAAAAACACTTTTCTTCTTATAAATTGCATTTGCACACAAAAAAATGTATGGCCGCTAAAATAAGTTAAAAACAAAGATGTAGCCACAAGGACACAAACTTAACACAGATAAATTGAATTAATCAGTGACTTATTTAAATGAAATAGTGTTAAGTATTTAGTGCGTGAAAATCCTGTTTTGTTATAAATAAGTCCATTTATCAAAAAGAATAAATATTTTTGAATAAATAGTTTGTGATTGCTGTGAAATATCATTCTAATCCCCCTCCCTCTTGTTTTGCAAAGATTGACAAATCAGTGTCAAACCAGAATATTCTTGTGATAAATTGTGTCTAACATTTCTTTTTAATCATACAAATTTTCAAATCCAACATGTTAGTACGTAAAAAAAAACAAATATATGACTTCACTTATTGCCTGATGGATGGTCGAGAGTATATCCTGTCAACATGGATCAATAATATAATGGAACTATGCAATGCATCATTGTCGCTGTACATTTAGGGTACAAGCCGAGGTTGTCCGTAATCCACTGGGCTTTTGAAATTTATAATTACTTTAATAAGCCTGGGTTTCTATTCACAGTTCTTGAAAATAAACTTTCATTTTTAAAAACCAAGTGATTGCTGCCCGTGTATCATAATTGCTATGCGCAGGAGAAGACCGGCAGGGCACTATTAGCACGGGCTAGACTGTGTAGGTCCACTTTTATATAGATATATTTTTAAATGAGCTTTTCTTTCAGCACATTTCAACTCCCGGGCTTCAAAGTCCTGGCACTGAGTAATGAGGTAACTCTTGGAAAATTGTACACCCAGGTATGTATTTCCACAGGAAACAGTGTTGAACCCCTAGCTAATTTAAAGACATACATAACAAGTCCTCCCCCGAGCACAACACAAGTCCAGTTTGTCACTAAGAACTGTTGTCCAAGTGTCTCTCAGCGTTAGAAAATGAACAGCCGTGATGGGGGCCGCTCTAAGCCATGGTTTCTTTGCCGGGCAGTCTGCGGTCGTTAAACGTGTGCATGTTGATGACTTCTTCGGTCTTGACCATGAGGGGCTGCTGAGGCTTGTTGTGTTTGAGGCGGCGCTGGCACTTTAAAGACACGCGGAGCTCGTCCACCATGGCACTGCAGAAGGACCGCTGTGGGAAAGAAAGCAACATCAAAGTTTAGTGCCGCAATGTCCAGGCTTCTATGACTCCCTACGAGAACTCAACACAAGTGATGGTGTGTGCAGAGGTGGTTTGAACATTTCCAGGCAAAAAATAAACAAATAATGCATGAATAGTGCTTAAGGTAAATAGTATTTATTATACAGTATAGTGTGTCGGCCCACCAGTTTTGTACCAACTGGTGAAAACCTCTATTCAAAGCATACTTTTTGCTTGATTCTCTCTTTCCAGTTAAGCATTTGAGTACGGTGTGCGTATAGCACTGTGAAAGGTGTACAATGTAACACAAATATGTTTATTTGAAAAACAAAGATAAATGAAGTCTGCATGCTTGTAAGAAAGTCGTGTTTCATAAATTTTCATTTTGATTTGATTTTTAAATTATTCCACCATCTGGTAGGTGGAAAAACAGAGCCGTTTTCTGTGGACGATGGGCTTGATTCAGCAAAGTCTGTGCTGATGCTTAAAATGCTCATTTTTGGAGGTTATACCCCTTTTTGATTTATTTGGATGTGAAAAGGCGCATTTTGAAGACAAGAAGGTGATGAAACATGGAGAGATCATCCTTTACATTTGTAATGTCTATCATTTTGTAAATTTACATTTTAGTTTTTTGAACAAATCATGTCTTTTACTGATTGTGAGTTTGGATTTTTTTTGCTAGATTGTTATCAACAAAATGCATACAAGTTTTTATTGAACAAAAACGAAAACAAAGGGAAATGTATCGTTGACCGATTTGTAGATCACTTTGAGGGATCTTTTTGCATTCTTGGTTCTATGTTTAGAGTAAAATCATCTGGTTGTTTTCCCGCTTAAATAATCCTCAACACAAGAGCTCCCGGCATAATTAAACTATTAAAAGTCCCACAGCCAACATTTTGACTGCTTCCATCCAATTCTGAGAAATTCCTCCAAAGAATGTCTAGTTTTTCACCAGATTTACAAAAAGAAAGTATTTTTACTTTACTCACTTTAAATGATTGCTAAAACTGGACAATTATTCGTGCAACTGAAATAGAGCAAAAGGCTAATGCTAACGTCTAGCAGTAAACAGTATGTTGCTAGAGCAAATAGCACTTGCTCTTTGGAGTTAAAGGTAACACTACTCAAATTCCAAATGTAAAGGATAATTTCATACTGTACAAATTAATGATTATATATATATATATATATATATGACACATAGATACAAAAAAGTCTCAGTTATGAAGACCACAAATGCACATGAGATGAGTAATTACACTTCCAAAACTAAAAGCCGTCAAATTGACTGCTCTGGGAGTTCTAGTGTTAATGTGTAAAATTGCAAATATTAAGAAAAAATGCATTATCTGTGGATAATAACTAGAATGAGTCCCTGTTCATAGATGGTGAGACTAAAGTGAATTATTGGACTTTATCGGTCGAATGATAGATTCAATGAGTTGACACTGCTCACATGAATAGAAAAATTGCTCAATGTAAACTTTTTGCTGCCCTCTGATAACATTCCTTTTAATTGCTTCAGATTATATTTTAATATACATTATCAGAATATAAACAGCATCTCCTCTCCCCAAATGTAACCCTAAACTTAGCAAACATTCTCTTCCTCTGACTTGGTTTTTGTTTCACTGTGACCGAAATCAAATCAGCTCTAAAATGACTCCAGTGGATTCCTTTCGTGCTCAGACTCAAGAGTCAATTGCATTTTCCTGCCGCTAATGTGCGTAATAGCATGTAAAAACATTCTCCCACACAGGACAAGCGGAGACTGAGCGCAGCACTAAATCATTCCTGGGGACTTGCTTTTCTCCTCCTCCCAAACACATCTGCGTTTGTCTGGGATTCATTTGAATAACGCCCAGTCTCGCTGAGATTATAGCAGTGTAGCTGAACATCTGGACACTGTGCCAATGCCACTCTCTCTCTGTGCTCAATATGAAGCCCATAAATACATAATTCATGCGCTGCTCCGTGCATAATACAGTGATTAAATGTATCCTCGTCAGCTGCGAGACCCTGAAGGGGCCGCCGTCCTTAAGAATCTAAACGCACACGTCTCCAGACAGTTCACTTTTTGATAACTGCAAAATGACTGGAATGAGTCGGATACACGCGGGGCGTTATCTGAAGAGATTTGATAAAGTAGTGCAGTAAGTGGCTAAATTTGAGTGGCAGAGAAACTGTTGCACCTGAAGAGTAAATGTAAACACCTCAAAAATAGTAATGTTTTTACACAATGAAAACCTGGAATATAGAACTTCTAAAGAGATGCAGCGTATGCCTTATATGCTGCATCTCTTTAGAAGTTCTATATTCCAGGTTTTCATTGTGTAAAAACATTACTATTTTTTCACGTTATATGAAATGAATAAATATAACTCTTCTCCCAACTCTTGGTCTAAGTTTAAGCTTTTGTGAATGGTCATAGCTCTAGAAAGAGACAGATTTATTCAGGAGAACAATGGAAGACAAGACGAGGTGGTCAATGATAAGCTTTGTATTATTGAATTTTAAATGATAAATATCCACTTACAGAGCCTCGTCTCTGTGGTGACAGCCCACTTTATGTGCGTAAACACATGGGCTCAGCTGGACAAAATGGCCGCTGCAGATACATAACAGTGTGTGATTTATTCATGTGCATTATCTCCCGTCTGACTGCAGCCGTGTCGCTGCATGCACAATTAAACCTGTGCTAACGTCTGTTTTAGCCCGACACTGGGCCGCTCTTGGGAGAAAAGCAGAACGCTATTATGGTCGTGCCAAAGATTTAACACTAAATTTAATCTTGACTTAAATGTTGGTTTAAATGGAAAGATAAATAAAGAACAAATGGTTATATGACATGACTTTGACATTATTTAAAAAATGAAGCCCTGGATCAGGAGTCACCTGCAGACTCAGTGCTGTATGCAGACTGTTTCAGATGTTTTATCTGTTGTCGTACAGAGCTCTCGGTGACCCCGGCCGATGAAAATGAATCCATGGCCACTCACGTTTTATCTGTGGGGAAACATCCACTGTTCCCATAAATACACTACTGTAGATATAAATGCATAATTTAACTTTGCGCAGTAAAAGAGATACTAGGTTTTATGGGAAAACTCAAAGGAGTAGCTCTCTGCCATTTCTGTCCCAGCTCTTGGATTAAATGACGTGCATGTTTGGGTCATTTTTTTTCTCATCAGTAAAATTAGTGGTGAGGTACAGGTATCATGCATTATAACCACAGTTTAAGCAGGATGTTTATCACTTTATAGATGTTGTCACTCAAAAAGTAAAAGTACTCCTAATATCATAACTATGTTGCTTTCAAAACACATTTTCTTTCATGTGCACACTTTTCACTTTCACCCTGTTGATCAGAGCGACTGTTGGAGCATTTGAACTGCTCAGGATCCATACGCCATTGATCCAAGGACCCGAGTACAACTACAGAAAACACTATCGGACTCAGGCATTGGTCGATTGGTCTCCGCGCAGACACAACGACATATTAGCATCTAAATCACAAATATTTGCAGTGAAATCGATGAGGGCAGTGAGCAGATGGAATGGTTGCACGCCTTGTTGCACTGTTATTACTACTTTGAACCAATGGTAAAAGGTTGTAGCTTTCAACACAGAGGTGGATGGTTGACATTTACTTTTTTGATACAACATTGCGGTGGAAGGTTGCATAGTTTGGCTTTGAATATCAGTGGGAATTCATGTTTTTCAAGGTATTTAGGAGATACTTTGGCCTGGATTTTTCTAAGGCCTCACATGCATTTCGAAATGTTCATATAATAATCCAAGCTTAATTGTTGTGATGGGGGAAAAAATGCTTAGAACTATTCAGGAGATAGAATGCATTAAAAGCAAAAAACGACCTCACATTGAAGAGGTCCATCACAGGGCTCGGATTAAACATACCATGTAGCTATGTGTGCATTTCTGAACATATTAAGAAGGACTTTTTTTTTTAAATGAAATCGTTTATATTGAAATGTTGAAAAAAGTTGTCTGAAGATAAAACCCAAATGTATTTTACAGTAGAATCCAAACCGCTTGTGTGGGCAGGTATCAGTCAAACATCTCTCAAAACTGCTGTGTATAAAGTAGTCAATGTCTAGTACAAGGGTTAATTTAACATTGTTAGTCATTCTAATTCTTTTCATTAAATTCCAGGCTGTGGTAAGGACTCTGGGGTCTGGGCTTCAAAACAAGTCTGGCAGTGAGTTTGAACTATTTTGTTTTCCCATCACATTTCCTCAATGTGTATTTAGAGTGTTGTGAGTGATCGTTATTCTCCTGAATTCCAAATGATTCTGTTATTTTCTTATTCTTTGATACATTGATGATTTGGCAGCATCGCACATGTAGGCAATTTAAATGAAAACGAAATATTTCTTCTGTGACCTTGAAGCAGACAAAAGCACAATACAGGTACGTGTGGAGACCATGTCTTCAGCAGCACTGCGGCTGCTCCACTGTTCCATGTTCGTCCAAATCACAAAGGTGTCCCGCACACTCTCACTACCTGCACCTTTTCTCATCGATTTGGCTGTAAAACTGTTTTTTTCCTGACTAGTGGAGGAAGTGGGGGAGGTGGGCACCCCGGGGGACGCATCACCCGCGCTCTGGCTGTTGGATTGATGGAGAACGCTGAGGGTCATTGGATTACAGAGTTTTTACAACACTCAACGATCAACCCAATCCTGCACCTGCCTGTTGTGAGCTCCACAGCCGCCGTAAAACAGTCCGACAGCACACAGCAGCACACAACACACACAAACATTGTTTTAGAGCTGCACTGTAAAATAATGGATCTGACTTGAAGTGCGTATACGGCAACTTGAAGCTTTTTCTATAATGCAGAAATGAGAATAATATTGTAGTTCAGATTTCATTATATCTTAATTTACTGGTTGTAAAATTATGAAAAAACACATAACTATACTTTTTTCCCGTATTATTAGGCCAAATTTGCTTATATTTCC